AAATCCTTAAATTCTCTTGCCAAGTCAAATCGATATTTTCATGTTTTCGACATCATATTGTCCATGAGTCAACGGAGAAAATAATTAGTGCCAGAGAGATTAAAATCTAAAATTTCATTCAAATCAAATTCAACAATTAATTTTAATTCCATATTTCATGGTATTCATAATTTTTTCAACTACATATTTCATCAAATTTTATCAAAATTTACTAAAAATCTAATTTTAATCCTCAACTACATAGAGACTTAGTTATAATATTAATAAATCAAAACGGATATTAGTGTACTTAAAAGAAACGAACGAAGAAGTAAAAGCAAATTGCACTAGGGTCCCGGATGTAATCCCTTAAAGGTGCCAATTGCCATGAGATCCGCTATGAATTGACATGACACAAATACCACTCTCTTCTGTCAGTTGGAAGGGAACCACTGTGTATAGTAGCATACATTCTTCAAACATTTATGTGTAATTGAAAATAAGAAAGAGAAAAATGAAGTCCAAAAGTCTCTATCTTGTATCTATAATAGCGTAGCGACATGCCGACAAGGCTAATGAACAAATTTATTCCTTCACGCGTTATCATCTTCAACTCTCCGTCTCTCCCTGTTCTTTTTTTACCATTCGCGACTTTGCGCGCTCCTTTAAAAATGTTGTTGCAAAATCATAGGATTGTCTTTAAAATAAGTTTAGTTTATAATAAATAAGTTTTTAATTTTTTTTTAAAAAAAGTTAAAAGCTATTGGAATTTGGAAATGGTTTCAAAATTATTTAGTTCTAACTTCTAACCATGATTGAAACTAATTATTGCATTTGACTTAAATTAAAGAACCTTCCTTGCCCTACATAAACGAAAGAAAACAGGGAAGACACGATACATGTGGGGTCCACTTTTTACAATAATATTTAAATCAGGTGGGACCCACATCATGTGAGTATTTTGTATTACCTCTAGTACAATTTTTCTGTACATTAAGCATTGTTGTAAATTAAAATGTTGATGTTAATATTTTATTCTCAAAATTAGATAGTAACATAGTCAATTTTAACCTCAAATTTCGGTTAAAGAATGCGTGAAGTAATCTGAGTCGCGTCAAGACTCGTGCTCGGTGAAAACTGAATTTTTGTTTATTACAACCTTGTAATACGTATGATGTTGTGCTGTACAAGTAATTTGTTGTACTAACCAAGACATGATTTTCCATTCCGTTTATTTTCATTTGTTGTACTCGTCATCCCAAATATATATGGAACTTGTTCGTCTATTCATTGCACATTAATATTAGGGATAATTATAGTCACGGTCTCAAATTTTCATTTGTTGTACTCGTGATCCCAAACCTTTCAATTGCATGCGGCTGAAGGACAAATGAAAGGTTAAGTAAAACTTGCAACAATTTGAAATATTTGTAGCCTGCCATTATTCATTAATATTACGTGAAATGAAAGTCTTTTTATTTGTCTATGACGTTTGAAGATGCTAATCGCAATTAGGGAGTATGCTACATAGAATTGAAGCTCGACTGCAGAGAGTTGCACGGCAATGGTTGGGCCCCCATTGTTGAAAAGCGAGAGAATTGAGGGAAAAAGAGGAGGAGATAGTGACTAGACGAAGGATGCTTCCCTTTTCTAAGATTTGCCCCGTATCAACAGTGGCCCCCAATAGCAGCATTAAAGCAACAACAACTCTCTTCTCCTCTCTATATATAACATTATGTATTTGTATTGCTATATCTGTCTCCTATTTTGTGTCTTCTTTTCATCATCACATTCACAGCTAGGTTTGATATGACATCAAGCATCAATATTACAGCACTATGCATGCTTTTTCATCTACAATCATCATCAAAGAACATACAGTAAGCCCGGCCCTTTTATCATTCGTAAAATTTGATGGAATGTGTGGATCTCGTAAAAAGCTTAAGATAATGATGACAACTTGCCCCCTTGCAATCTTCAATTTATTTTTATTTATTCTTTTTTGTTTTTGTTTTATTTAACACACGCCACTGTTTGGTATAATCAATAATTAATTTTAACCACATATTTACGTGATGCACAAGTACTAAAAATCTGATTTTAATCTACACCAAATAAAGACTATACGTGGAAAGTTTTCTAGGCCAATTAACAATTATAAGAGTGATTTTTGATGTGGTCAAGATACATTTTCTTGATCAACTAAAGATCAAATTGATGGAATTTGTATTCCGTTCATTTGTTCTTGTGCTGCAATAATGAAAGATTTGACATCATGAATAATACACGCTAAAAGTTCGGTTAATGTCTGCGAAAAAGTAAAGATTTGGAAGCATAAATGTAATTCTCCCTTAATTTGATAATCAATATTCACTCAGTACAATCTTAACCAACAAAGTCAAATGAAATCCCCAAAATCAACTACTAGGTAGTAAACTTTGAAAATCACGAATGATTGAAAAAGATAATTCTTGTTTGGGAGAAATTTTTTAAAAATTATTTCTAACTACATATTTTATGGAATTCATAATTTATTCTATTTTGAGCATACATTCTCAAAAAAAGTATACGTATTTTTTCAAAAAAGAAAAAGAAAATCTCCTAAACAAACGCTCACACTAGCAACTTAAGTTAATTGATACTTAAATCAGTAGAATCTATGTGTGCTTATTTTAGGTATTCCATAAACAAAAAGAAAAAAAAAAAAATCTCAAATCTAAGGAAAGAAATGTGTAGAAAAAGTTACAAATCAGATTAACAACGTTTTTAAAATTAAAACCTAGTACTCGAGCACCAAACGAAACAGAAAAGAATTGAATAATCTCTCATTTTCTTCTTAACAAATTTTCTCTATAATTCATTATTATTACAAAAATTCGTGTAAGCTTCACCTAAGCTTGAAGTTTGACCTCGTTGTCAAGCCTCGCTTAGGAATGAAGTTTCGGTAGGACAATCCTGTATGCACACGTGATACATAACTGATTCAAATCACGACATATCGAACCACTCGAATCAATCAAAATGTGACTCCTCGACATCACATGCACACTTTTTTTCCCCTCTCTTACCACCTCGGGCGTCAAGAGATGTCATTTTGACTAGCTCAAGATTCGAAATGTCGTGATTTAAATGAACGATCCTACCACATGCCCAGATAAGACCATCCCATTAAAGTTTTTTCTCGTTGCTTAGGCTCATAAAGCCTAGTTTGATTTTGTCGATTAGTCATACTTTGCATTTTTTGGAACATCGTTATTATCAGGAGTCACGACCAAACTTAATAGACATAATCTTTGCCTTACATTTTCTCAATCCAAACAAAGCCTAATAAAATACCCTAGCTTTCTGCCATGAAGATAAATGAAAATTACGATGTTGAAGCATGTGATTGGTGCAGAGAAATGAGTACTTGATTAGAATTTTGGATGGTGGATTTTATTGCACATAGGTAAAGCTGGGTCCCATTTTGGGAGGAAGACACTATTATTAATGAGTAATACTAAAAACCTTTGTTAAAGGTTGACAGTCTCGAATGCTTCTCGTGCTAGCGTCCATCTTGCATCAAAATGGAAAACATTTCTTTGTGTTACCTTTTTCACATAGTAACTCTGCACAAGTTACACAGAAAAGAGTAAGGAAACGGTCTAACTTCGACAATCAACGTTGTATTCAGAGTCAACAAAAAAATCTTTAACCTAGGTAAATACATTTTTTTTTACTCTATTTGATTTTTCTTTCTTTTCCGTTTGTTTATTTAAGGGGTAAAGTGTAAGATCGTCATATTAAACAGATATAACATATTAAGACTCAATTTGATACAAATTAAAATTTAGATTTTTATTAAAGTCAACAATTAATTTTAACCACATATTTTATGAAATTCACGAACTTTCGACAATACATTTTATTTATTCTTATCAAAATCAGTTAAAAATCTGATTTTAATCTCCATCAAACAATGGCTAACTTTAGATAGGGAAAAAAAATCACTTCCTGGTCACAACATGATAAGCAAGATAAATGGATTAGTATAGAATGAAAATAGCTACTTTACTAAAAATAGGATGGAATATGGTCAAAGAAAAAATATATCTACATATATCACATTTTTGTCCTTGTATATCCACCAATTTCGATTACATTTCTTATCTTATATAAATCTATTTTTTTTTTTTAAACCATTGTGAATCATGACACGATTTTTGCAAACTTTCTCAAATTTTGATATTTGTGAAAACATAAACTTAAATGATTGTAGTTACGAATTTTTCCCAGGCTATAAAAAGTCCAACATATGCTCAATATGGAAAATCCCAACACAACTAATTTCGAGGGAGGCAAGGAGATTTTTTTTGCAACAGCTCGGAAAAGGAAACCAGTCAGAATACAGAAGTGAAGATGAGATCGTGAACGAATCGAGGCTCGCTTAGCATATCAGTCGAGCAAAATACCAGTTTAGACACGATAAAAGGGAAGCTCTGTATAAATATTGAAAATCAGTTGTTCAGTCATAGGATGCACACGTAACATCTCCATGGTCTGACCTTTACCAGAAAGGACTGTACTATACAACAATGCAATCTGAACTGGAAAAAATATTAACTCCACACGCTTAAAGAAATAAAGCTAACTTCCTCAAGAACTGGTAAATGCAAGGAACAGTAAAGGACGACAAAGAATATTCATTAAAACTTTAAACTACTTTGCCCCTATTGGCTAATCATTAGTAATAACTTTAATGTGAAAAACCTGAGAATCTCAAAGATGGCAAATGTGCATTTCAATTGTTCAAAAGTCATGCTCAGTTTTTTTCCAAGAGCACCAAATCTTCTAAAAATATGAATTAAGAAGAAGCCCGACCTTTGATCTAAAGTACAATTTGAACCTGGGTCCAACTTTAGATGGATGGCAAGTTGCGCACTTGCAAGGCGTCTTGCAGACACTTCACCGCCCTACCATATTTCAAAAAGCCCATATACCAAAATTCATGGTTATCAACAGATATAACCTGGATGTACTTTTCAGCTGAAGTTCTGCTTGATGAAGGATTTATTGCTTTGAGTTGATGTAATGGGATAACTACCTGTTCATAATATTTGTAACAGAGAAATATCAGTAAGCATTGCATGATTCATAAAAGGAATAAATGATCGGTGCCACAAAAGAAAAACAGGTAGCTCGGCAATTACGGATGTTAAAATTCAAGAGTCAATGGTAAAAGAAATCTCCATGTTCTCAAATATCTATAAATTAGTCTAATGCTCAGGATCTGATTGTGAGAACATCTTGTCTTGTATTATTAAAACAGATTATAAAGCAGGACAAGGGGAGACGAGAGGCTAATAAGAAAACAAATATATGTGAGCTGTTATAGAAACTATAGCAAGATAAGTAGATAACCAAAACAAAAGTCCTTAAAGATTTCATACAAGAAACAGGAAAAGAATCGAGTTGGAAAAGAAGAAAACTTAAATGTCGGCTGCTCCCTTCTAATTGGTTTTTAACAGGTCACTGTAAATTGCCGAGATAAAAAAGTCTATCCATAAAACTTAAAAACCTTCCGAAATTTAATGAAGCACCACCATTTTATCACCACTATTCAAGAGAACGAGTAATGTTTGACAGTAATTTGACTTTCCTATTCCTTTCCTCGGTCAGGAATGGATCTCATCCATTAGAACACGTTAGGATATGAACCGGGAGTTACATATCCTTCTCGTATGCCTTCCCTAATTCTTGATCCCAGTGAAATTGAGGTCCGCTAAAAGCATAAATTGATACTCCCTTTGTCCCAGAAGGATAAGGATCCCAGTGAATTTGAGGTCAGTTAAAAGCATAAAATTAATACTCTATCCGTCCCATAAAGATAGACTTATTTCTATTTTCACACAGATTAAAAAATATAATTAAAATAATTGAAAATATGAATTTTATTTACATTTTTCCTAACATACATTTACATTAAATATTTGTTTAAATAGAAGTAGTTCATATTTATTAATAACAAGACACATTAAATAGGGACATAATAGAAAACTAAGAAATCAACAGTGCTCTGAACAAGGAAAGTTGCCTATAATTTGGGACAAAAAAAGAAAAGAAAAGTAAGCCTATCTTTATTGGACGGAGAGAGTACAGTATAATGAAATTGAAAGGTAAGAAGCCCAAGTGCAAGAAGTTGAAAGGAACCATTTCTCTCAAATTTTACTATATTTACAGTAACTTTAGGCTGCAAAGCATTAGCTTTACATACTATGTAGTTAAAACAACAAACCGAGATTCAGGATATCTAAAATTAGAAGTGAGATAGGCAAAGATTTCAAAATGAATGGTTGTTTCCAGAAAGTATTTGCATCTAAACTTTTGAAAATCCTTTGACCTTGAAAAAGTGAGAGAGAGACTTGACATCATTAATCGGGATCCTAATTCCTTCATGGAGCAAATAACCCAAAGAGAAAAGTGGGATTCATACGATTTGGGTACAACTACAGTGACAAGTGATTATCAACAATCAATCTACAGATCAAAATTGCAACAATATTACATTTACTTGCCCCAAAACATCAATGCTCACATCAACAGCATCCTCAAAGACAGCAGTACCACTTTCTACTGCCACTTTCCAGCAAAACATGGAGATTCATACAAGCAAGAGCCCACATCAATAACTAATACTGAAGCTAAGTGATATTTGAGAAAATATCTAAAAATGTATATCATTAACCACAAAATGAGTACATATATATACAAGAGGATTAGTAATGTAGATCCTTAATCAACTCCTAGAAAATAGGAACAACTTTACGTGTCTATGGTACAAAATCATAACTGAATATACTGAATATTATTCCTAGGAAATTAGCCAAAATTCTAGGAAACAAACTCCTAAAATACAGACCATAATTATAGGAAAGTAAATCTTCCTTTAATCGACTAGTTTGTTTTCCTACACTCCCCCTCAAACTAGACAATATATGTTCATTAAACCATAGAACTTAGTTCGATGAAGTTGGGTCGAAACAAGGCCTTTGTTAGAATATCTGCTGCTTGTTGCCGAGAAGGTACATAGTTGAGAGAAATCACGTTTCCTTCTATTTTCTCACTGATGAAGTGCCTATCAATCTCGACATGCTTTGTCCTGTCGTGATGAACTAGATTTTTGGCAATTGCAATTGCTGATTGGTTGTCACACATAATAATAATAGGATCGGAAGTACCCATCTTGAGTTCACATAGTAGTCGATTCAGCCAAATTCCTTCACATATGCCATGAGCCAATGCTCGAAACTCGGCCTCGACACTACTACGAGCTACCACCTGCTGTTTTTTACTTTGCCATGACACCAAGGTCCCCCAAACAAATGAGCAGTACCCGGATGTAGACTTTCGATCAATAGGAGATCCGGCCCAATCTGCATCTGTGTAGATTTTTAGGAATCGATCAATTGTTTTCCTGAACATTAACCCCTTTCCAGGATCCTTCTTAAGGTACCTAAGAATTCGACTCACTGCCTCCAAGTGATCTACAGACGGATTGCTCAAGAACTGACTAACAATATTGATTGCAAAGCTTATATCTGGGCGCGTGTGTCAAATATATAAGCTTTCCCACCAATCGTTGATAATGTCCCTTATCCGCTGCTAACTCTTCAGTCCGAGGCATCAATTTGATATTAGGGTCCATTGGAGTCTCAATCGGCTTGTATCCACTCATACCGGTTTCGCGCAGAAGATCCAAAACATACTTATGTTGTGAGACTGAAATTCCTTTACTAGTCCTGGCCACCTCCATTCCCAAAAAATATCTTAGATGTCCCAAATCTTTGATTTCAAATTCCTTGGACAGTAAGATCTTAAGTCTTCTCATTTCTCCTTCGTGATTCCCAGTAAGAACTATATCATCAACATAGACGATCAATACTGTAATTCTCCCATCTGTGAAATGTTTGATGAATAATGTGTGGTCTGCTTGAGACTGTGAGTAACCATCCTGTTTAAGCACCTTAGTGAACCTATCAAACCATGCTCGAGGTGATTGTTTGAGTTCATACAACGCCTTTTTAAGCTTGCACACCTTTCCTTTTGTTTGCTCATTTCAAAACCGGCTGGCGTATCCATATAGACTTCCTCGACTAGATCCCCGTTTAGGAATGCATTCTTCACATCGAGCTGAAACAACGGCCAATCTTGATTGACAGCAATGGATAATAAAACACGTACTGTATTGAGTTTGGCTACAGGGGCAAATGTCTCCTGATAATCAATTCCATATGACTGAGTGAACCCTCTAGCTACTAACCGAGCTTTATATCTATCAATGTTCCCATCAGCCTTTTGCTTAACTGAGAATATCCATTTACATCCCAAAGTCTTCTTACTAGGTGGTAATGATGCTAGGACCCATGTGCCATTTTTCTTAAGTGCATTGTACTCCCCCTGGGTTGCTGTTTGCCATTTAGGGACCTTCAGGGCTTCATAAACTGAACTGGGAACCATGATTTTATCCAAGCAAGTCACAAATGCTTGGAATTTCTGTGATAGGTTTGAGTAGGAGATGTAACTGTGAAGTGGGTGCTGGGTACATGATCGAACGCCTTTTCTCTGAGCAATGGGCAGATCTAAATTTGGATCATAATCTGTCACTTTTTCAGTACCTGACTGTGGACTAAGATCTGCCTCATCTTGCGTCCTTTTAGGATCAATTGGGTTCGGGAGAGTCTCTTGATTTTGCTGACTTAGTTTGGGCTGCAGAGGTATTTTTTTTCTTGTGTAAACGTTTATTGCTTCATCAGGGAGATGGAGATGTTTAGGATAGATGACAGAAGGCGGACTTGCATCGGATGATGAATTTGGTGAGTTTGATGGTTTTTGTAGGGTCATTTGTGTATTGAGAAAGGAATCGAGTTCGGTAGACTAGAGAGAGAAGAGTAAGGCGGACTTGACTCAATGAGGGCTGACCAATCCCAATTTTGTAATTCATGAGTGGCATACTCCCTCTGAAATGTTGGGGATGGTTCAACACATGGCTAGGGAAACCTTGCACTCCATGTGGCCCAATCACCCTCCTCTTCGTGGATAGTGGACTCCGGTGCATCAAATCATATGACAGATGACAAATCCCTTTTCACAACGTATTCTCCTTGCAATGGTCATCAAACAGTACGGATAGCAAATGGTAAAAGCACCAAAGTGGCAGGGACAGGAACAATTTATCTCTCAAACACTCTTATCCTCTACTCTGTTTTATTTGTGCCTGATCTTGACTGTAACCTCAGTTAGCAAACTTAACAGTGACCTTCACTGTGAAACTAAATTCTTTGCCAAATATTGTGTATTTCAGGACTTGAGCTCGAGGAGGACGATTGGCAATGCTGAGCTTCGTACGGGCCTCTATCTTCTTGATGTGAACGCTTCATCAGTCTCCTCCTACTCCAATAACAATTGAAACAGTCCTCAATGTTGGTCAGTCCATAGTCTTAAATCAGTTAGTCAGTCAAATAAGGATAGTGTAATTATGATGTGGCACTTTCGTTTAGGTCATCCTAATTTTTTGTACATGAAACGATTGAAGATCCGCTTGGTTTCAACAATCTTTCTGAAATAGTCACGGTCATGTGGACACTTACATTCGTGTGATTCAAAGAGATCTAGTTGCTGCCAATGGCGGGTAAGAGTAGTGAAATAGGTAGTAACAGAGTTTTCTCCTTGTCTCAGGTCCTGAAGGATGCTCTCCACATGGAAAAGTTCGGCTGTGTTTTCGCTGCTGGAGAAAGTATCACGTGCAGCGTCCCAGATTTCTTTGGCTGTGGTGTAGAGCAAAAAATTTTCACCTATCTCGGTATTCATCGAACTGATCAACCAAGACAAAACAAGATTGTTTTCAGCCCTCCAAGTTCTGAACTGAGGATCACTCGGATTAGGTTGAGTGGCAGCGCCAGTGAGGTAATCATCTCTGCTTCGTCCACTTATGAACATCATTATTGACTAGGACCATTGGAGATAGTTTTGGCCGTTGAGTTTATGACTGCTGATGGGAACGAGGCTGTGTTCGGTTGCCGTCTGAGTTAATTAAGGAGCGATGGG